GCCTCCCAGAGAGCTAGGATTACAGGCGTGAGCCACCGCGCCCGGCCTTTCTCTTTAATTCTATGTGACAACAAACTTTCTACTTTACTTATGACTGAAGACATGGTATTTTCTCTGTCAAATGTTATAGTTTAATAACAAAAAATGGGCTTTAGTTTGAACTGCAGAAACATGGGATTAATGTGATTTCAAAAATCATAGTGATGGTAGTTAAAAATTAAAAGACTAAAAAAATCATAGGGTATGGTATTTAAAAATTAAAACAGACTAAAAAAAGTTTGTTTGATTACAATTTTGTGCAAGTGTGTACATACAATCATACATATCCACTTTTTGTGTAGGTTTTTGGTAAGCTGTGTTTTTCAAAGAATTCATCCATTACATCTAAGTCGTCAAATTGCTGGCAAAAGTTGGTTATAATAGTCCCTTATTATTTTATTCTCTAGAAACTATTATAATGTGCTTGCTATCATCTGTGATATTGCCAATTTGTGTGAATTTCCTTTTTTCTTTAAGTTTTGACAGATCATCAGTTTTATTAAAAGTTTCAAAGAACAAAATGTTTGGCCTTCTTGTTTCTTTGTTTTACATTTAATTGATTCTGACTCTTACTTTTAATTGGTCCTTGCTTCTTCTTTCGGGTTCATTTACTCTTCTTTTCCTAGTTTTTTAGAATGGAAGCACACATCATTGATCTTAAATCTCTTCTTTTAATTATAAGCATTTAAAGCTATAAAATTTCTCTCTACACACTGCTATAGCTATATCCCATGTCATGTTTGCATTATCATTTTTAAATATATTGTAATATATGGTGATATCTTCTTTCATCCAAGTATTACTCAGAACTGCACTGCTTAGTTTTTCTAGATATCTATTGCTACTGATTCCTAATTTAACTCTGATGTGGTCAGGGAACAGATTTGGTTTGACTTCAGTGCTTTAAAATTCACTGAGGCTTGTTTTTCTTGGTGAAGTTGTGCATACATTTGAATAGAAGTTCATCGTGTAGTTGGTAAATACTGTGTTCTATAAATGTTGATTAGATCTGTATAGAAGTTTTAGGTTTTTACCCCCAAATCTCCTATATCTTTACTTTTCAATTACTGAGAGATAAATGCTATAATCTATAACTGAATATAGATCTGCCTAATTCTCCTTCAATTCTATCAATTTCTGTTTCATGTACTTTTGGGCTATGTTATTAGATGCACACATATTTAGGACTGTTACGACTTCTGAATTAATCCTTTGACAGTGATTTAATAACCCTCTTTATTTCTTATATTGCTTTTCCATAATTTGACTCTGTCAATGATTAAAATAGGCACACTAGCTTTTTAAGGCTTTCAAGTTCATCTCTTGTAAACAGTATATACTTTTTTCTTTATTCTGACAAATTTTTGCTTTCTGAGTGTTTAGTATACTTATATTTAATATAATTATACATACTGCTGGATTTAAGTAGAGTCTTCATAGATACATCACAATTATTTTAAAGTAGTTGTCTGAAAATTCTAACATCAGTTTCACTGATTTTACTGTTGACTATGGGTCACATTTTCTTATTTCTCTGCTTAGCTAGTGATCTTTTTTATTATATACTCCACATTGTTGATGAGATGTGTCAACTCTTGATTCTAAAATCTTCTCTGGAGCGTGTCTTGTTCTGTTTTAGCAGCCAGTTAAATTACTGGTAGATCACTCGGAACTTACAGAGGCTTTTGTAATTTATGAGGAGAGCCCATTTTGGTTGTGCTCTTATTTCTAAGGTAAATCCTTCATTAGGGGGATGTGGTCTTTACTCTTAATGTTTGGCCCATTTGGAATTCCAATGGTAAAGCTAAGATTTTTACTTCTAACTTGGCAGGACTAACTCTTCAAATTCCGTCTTCTCCATAAGAGGCAGCGTCCTAAATCACTGCACAACTCCATCAGCATTCCAGCTCATGCTTGCCCCTGACACTCTTATGTGAATGTGACCTTATTTAGAAATAGGATCTTTGGAGATGTAATCAAGTTAAGATGAGGAAATGTTGGCTTGGGGAACCCTAAATCGAATGACTGGTGTTTGTATAAAGAGAGAGATACAGAGACACACAGTACACACAGGGAAGACGGCCATATGAGATGTAGGCAGAAATTGGAGTGATGCAGCTACAAACCAATGAATGACAAGCACTAGTGGCAAGCAACAGAAGCCACTAAGAGGCTAGGAAAGATTCTTCCTTAGACCTTCAGAGGGAGCATGGCCCTGGTGACAACTTGATTTCAGACCTACAGCCTCCTGAATTGCAGAGAATAAATTTCTGTTGTTTTAAAACACCCAGCGTGTGGTTTTGTGTTACAGTAGTTCTAGAAAATGAATACAAGCACACACACAGAGTATACAAAATCAGTGAGAATAATTCCCCTACTTCATTCAACAAATATAAAAGTGTTTGTATTTACAACTCTCCATGCACCACACTCCTCCCTCATTAATAAAAGTAGAAAAGAGCACAGGAAGCACACACATCAATGACAGCAACATTAAGGAATATGTGAATGGTTTAAATTAATACGGTTTTTAAACTACCTAAAATGGAAATGGCACCTAAAACAGGAATAAAAAGTAAACAAAAAGACATATTTGGGTAGCAATATACACTATACTACTATTTTACTCTCCCATTTCCAATAATATCCACAATAAATACCACACCTAAAGATGCACAGAAATGAGAATGCTAGTATATGCAACAACCATGAATTCAAGACAAATGCTACAGTTTGTCTTGAATTTGGCAAATGTGTTTGGTCTTCAACATTTGTTCAGTACCAATTAATTCTGATGAAGCTCTGTACAGGCTGACCTTTGAAAAATTTATACAATGCTAAAAGATTATAAAGGAAAGGGTACTTCCACAATGTTAATGCAAGTAAGTTAAAAGCAAAAAAAAAAAAAAAAGGAGGGGGGGGGCTTTTTTAATGATATATTAAATTAGGGAATACCTTACCTGTTGAATTACTTCTGGATATAACATGGGTAGTCTCTCCGCAATAAGAGCCAGCCCACCCATTCCTGCAAAAACTTGTAATGGTGACTGAATGGGGCAGGTTTCCAGTAAAGATTCATCTAATATCCCATCCATGCACTCATCACTTGGAGTGAGAGCCTCATCTTCTGGACAGCTACCAAGTAAGTCTCCATGATCTAGACAGTAAGTTACAAATAAATGAATAGGTAAGAAAGTACCTATTTTTAAAATATTCTTTCATTTACAAAAGCAGATAATGTTGCCTTCTCTCTGCTCAACAAAAGAGCACAAAAATATTGCCAGTTATTCAAATACAGTTGTATTAAGAGTAGATACTACAATGACCCTTAAATGACTTCTGATATTGCCTTCTATACTCTTGTTACTCAAAATATGGTTTACTGACCAGTAGCATGGGCATTGCCTGAGAGCTTGTTTGAAATTGTAGAATCTCAGGGCTCACTACAGACCCACACAATAAGAATCTGCATTTAACATGATTCTGTAAGTAATTTGTAAGCTTAATGAAGTTTGAAAAGCATTGTCCTTTTGGGCATAACTCTAAGTTAGATTCTATGCTAAAATACGTAAGTCCTAAAAAGACACTCACAGCGAATAATATACATACTCACACTCTAAAGTATCTAATTAAGAAAAATGGAAAAATTTTCTGACTGAAAACTAAATATTATACCATATTGGTTTAACCTGGAATTACTCACTGAGGAAAACCAAAGGTAGTACGTTCAACACGTAACCAGACCTTATAAACATTTAAAAAAAAAAAAAAAGATAATCCTGCTGAAAAACTGGGCAAAGAAGATGTATTAATTTACAGATACAAAAGGCCAGTAACTAAAAATTGAACTTTAATCATGAGAAAGATGAAAAGTTTAAATAACTTGATAGCAGATTCACACTATGAAAATCCAATACTTAAATAGCATTTATAAGAGCAAAAAATTAGAACCAGTAAGTTTCAATGATTGGGGAAAAAGATAAATTTTGTTATATCCATATAAAAATACAACCAATAAAAATGCACACTTAAAAATATTTAATATATTATATAAATGAAAAATAAAAAGATAGGCTGGGCATGGGAGCTCACACCTGTAATCCCAGCCAAGGGGGGAGGATCACTTCAGGCTGGAAATTCGAGACTAGCCTGAGCAACATAGCAAGACTCCATCTCTACAAAATATTAAAAAATTTATCCAGGCATGGTGGCATACACCTGTAGTCCTAGATGGTTGGGAGGCTAAGGCGGGAGGATCACTTGAATCCCAGAATTTGAGGTTGCGGTTGAGCTATGATGCACCACTACCCTCTAAGCCTGAATGACAGAGCAAGATCCTGTCTTTAAAAAAACTAAAAATGAAAAGCAAAAAGATAGAAAATATATGATCCTAATTCTGTATAAGGAAAAAATGTTTTTGAGCATGATGTGCCACTCTAATATAAATTATAACTAAATTGTAAATTGGGGTTCTCGCTTTGAGTACAGAATGACAAATAATTCACATAGCTCTCAAAGAAATAATATTAGAAATTAAAGCAGTTGTGCTCATAAAGTAAGTGATGGTATAAGAGGAATTAACACAACTTAATATCTGAAGGAAATAATGGCAATTTCCTATATTTATAAATAACTCAGTCACTAAGAAAAATGACATCTTGTTAAGTTATAATAAAAATATAGGTCAGTTAAGTCATAAGTTACAGAAATCCTTGTCTCCTTGTATGACAGACCATAATTATTAAAGTAGTATCACACACATACCTTTTTCAGGGTGTAGTCTTTTAAAAGAATCTGTTTTTGACAGACTTGGATCTGTGATAACTCTTGATCCCAATTTGACAGTTAGATCTATTGAGCGGTAACCTTGAGGAAGTTTTCGGTCATACAGGAGAGTTAAAAGCTGGGCAAGTGTCATTTCAGCTGGCAATGGCTGGCCTAAAAATAACATAACTAAGTTAAATCTGGAATCCAAGAAAGAGACATTTACTTCGTTCAGTTTACTCAATTTACTGTTTTTACTAAATTACACGAGTTTGATTCTGACACCAATTACTAAACAATTTAAAAATAACCATTGAAAAGTTTACAAAAATCGAATTTATTTATTTGACACGTGAATAATATCTATAGAAATTGTTAATTGAAGTATGAAGTCATGGGTAAAACAGAAACAAAGGAACAAACATTCCCATAAATCTGGGGCTAGCAAGTTTTTTCCATAAATGGATAGATAATAAATATTGTAAACTGTAGGGGCCATATGGTCTCTGCCATAACTACTAATCTACTGTTGTAGTAGAAAAACAGCTATGGACAATACATTAATAAACAGGCATAGTTGTATTTCAATAAAACTTTCTTTACAATAATAGGTATTCAATCCGCCAGCCATAGTTTGTTGACCTATGTTATAAATAGATAACGTGAAGTTAAGAAGGCAAATTCATTCAAATTTAGTTGGCAGTTTCATTATAATGTATCACAAAAATGGTGACAAATGGATATAGGCTGAGTATCCCTCATCCAAAATGCATGGGACCAGAAGTGTTTTCGATTTCAAATTTTTTTTTTTGATTTTGGAATAGTTTCATACAAATAATGAGGTACCTTGGCGATAAGACCCAAGTCTAAACATGAAATTCACTTACGTTTCAGACACACCTTATACACATAGCCTAAAGATAAATTTATATAATATTTTAAATAACTTGTGCATGAAACAAAGTTTGTGTACACTGAACCATCAGAAGGCAAAGATGCTACTATCTCAGCCCCACGTGTGGAAAACATTGAGCTGTTTGGCATCACCATCATTCCTGACTCTGAATTCATATGCTACCGATAAGCAATCGTTTTCTTACACCTATTCACACTAAGTATTAATACTTAACAGTAAAAACATACCATTAATGCAGTGAAAAAATAAGTGTTCAGGGTAACTAAGCAACACAGTAGCATCACCAAAATACCTGTGTCAGCTATAAACAACAGCAACACCAAACGACAACAAGCTTTCGGTTTCATCTACAATGCTATGTTTTGATTAAAAAGTCACTGTACACTACATTTTTTTCCCCTTGTCCCACTATAACACAGATACAATGTACATTGTATTTTTTTAGGTGAGAAGAAACATCAGAAGCAGTTAAGGAACCAGGAAGTGGGTCCTATAGGAATGAGGAAGCATTCTGTTGGGTGGCTTTTTAAACTTTTCTTACAGGCTGGGTGTGGTGGCTCACGCCTATAATCCCAGCACCTGGTGAGGTTGAGGCACATGACTCTGGAGGAAAAAACAACGGTTTTTATCTTAGAAGTCTCTCTTTGATTTTATAAATTGACATGATTTCTTCTGTTATGAATGCACTGTGCTCTAGTCCTTCAATATGCCCATCACACATTTTCATTATGTCAACCACAGGCACTTTTTCTGTAGTGTTACATCTTCATTGTCACTATTATCATGATCACCGTGATTCAGAACCATTTTGGCTATTTCACCGTCAATCAATGAGTGAACTGGACCCTCAATATCAGTTTTTTTTTTTTTTTTTTTTGAGACAGAGTCTCACCGTGTTGCCCGGGCTAGAGTGCCGTGGTGTCAGCCTAGCTCACAGCAACCTCAAACTCCTGGGCTCAAGCAATCCTCCTGCCTCAGCCTCCCGGTAGCGGGGACTACAGGCATGCGTCACCCATGTCCGGCTAGTTTTTTGTATATATTTTTAGTTGTCCAATTAATTTCTTTCTAATTTGTTAGTAGAGACGGGGTCTCGCTCTTGCTCAGGCTGGTTTCGAACTCCTGAGCTCAAACAATCCGCCCGCCTCGGCCTCCCAGAGAGCTAGGATTACAGGCGTGAGCCACCGCGCCCGGCCTCAATATCAGTTTTAACTTCTTTGATATCCACTTCTTCCACCTGACTGACAGACTCTGAAGGTATTATTTTTTACATATGGAAGGAGGTCTGACATCAATTTTTTCTCACTGGACACGCAGAATCCCTTCAAAGTCATACCTAGTTCACCACCATCCCAAATAGCCAGTCACAGATCAAAGGTTGTGCCAGGCATATACAACTGTGCCTTTAGCCATTGGGTTCCAAGCACTGGCAGCAGCATATATAGCCATACTTCATGCTAAACTTCTTTTGAAAACCTCCATGCCCATACCTCTATTCACTGCTGCCAGCATGCTGTTCAAGCATGTGTTTCCCCCCCACCAAGAACCACCACAGTAAAGCACAGGCTTTTGTATTTACTCTTTATTGATCTACAGATACCCTGGTCACATGGCTGAATTAATGAAGTCACATTTGGAGGAAAGTACATTATTTCTGATGAGGATTTCAGCTTAGAGGAGGAGAAGAACACATGTCGAGGAATAACAAAATCTTGCAGTCATCATCCAGTCCAGCTTCAGTGCAGTGAGCATAAGCCGCTGGTATAGAATGTTTGTGAAACCAGTAAGAAAAGATGTCCCTAGTGATCCATGCCTTTTTGTCTGCACAATATTGGACCAGTAAGAAGCAAGCTTCTCCCTATTAAGAGGTTTATATTTATGCATGCCTACTGCTTTAGCACATCCCAGCACAGTTATTGTGTCCTTGGCATCCTTAATTCCTTTAGGGGCTATCTCATCAGCTGTAGTCACTGTTTTTCTGGGGCAATAATGCCAAAACATGATGTTTTATCAGCATTATAGACTTGTTCCAGAGCCAGATATTCATCAGGGATGACCTTGGCAAACTCATCAATGAATGTCTCCATCTGCTTCCTGATCAGTAGGTGTTTTAACACCACATCTCTTTAAATATTTAATGCCATGTTTTTTCCTTAAATTTCTGCAACCGGCCTGTTGAAAATTCACAGTTCCCTTCAATTTTCAGTTCATCATGATAGATCCTTGCTTGTTTCATAAGCAGCATATCATTAAGTGGCATGTGTTCTTACCGCAATGCTGGCGAATCCACTCTTTGAATGCACAAATGAGATCTTCATTTTTAGCTTTATGCAGTTTTTCTATTTTTCATTAATTTCTGCTCCTCACTTTCAGCACAGAACTTAAACAGTTTATCCTTCTGTTTCTTCAGGTCATATATGGTGGTCATTCCAACAGCATACTCTTCTGTAAGATGTTTCACACTGTGCAGTTTCTCTAACAGCTCAACTTTCTGTACCACAGACAACCATAAATCCTTCCTCTTACTCTTAGCACCATTACCTATAGGGGTATCTGCAGGCCACTGTGACATTTTTAACAATATCTTTAAATCACAGAGCAGAGAATAAGCCAAAAGACACAGTAAGTAATGCATATAGGTCTGGGAACCATGTGGGCATCTGCTGTTGGTGCATCCAGCCTGCACACATGTGATTACACTTACACTACCCTTTGTGGGAGTGTTTGTGTGGAGGGATGTGGGCATGCATGGAAAAGATGTATCACCTTAAGGGGGCTGGAAGAGTGATTTTTTCCCTTGTGGATGCAGAATAAACTGTGTGTTGCACACCTGCATTTTGACTGCAACCCATCACATGAGGTCAGGTGTAGAATTTTCCACTTGTGGCGTAATAATGGTGCTCAAAAAGTTTTGGATTTTCAGATCAGGATGCTCAACTTGTATCACCTTCACTAATGACAGTATATTGGTCAATGAATTGGTATTAGCTGGGAAGAACATATTGCTCAACTACCACAGGTCTAAGAATTCCACTGCTAAAACTAGTTCTACAAAATGTGACTCACGTTGCTTCCTATATAGCTTGTCATAAACTCTCTAAACATTCACTTTTATCAATTGTTTTATGGCATGCTGATAGAAAAATTCAGAAAGCCAGTAAAGTAGAGATATGTAAGTTGATAGTGCTAAAAAGGATATGTAATAGATTATTCCCTTTTTACCCTCACTTGGAAGAACTATATGGAGAAAGTCTCTAACGCATTTATCCCATCAATACCACCCTGATAACATGGTGATTACACATTTGATTTATATAGTTGAAAAATTATTTCTTTGATATTTATTCATTGTGAACATTACCTGCCAAGAGTTTGTGAAATAGGTGAAACACTGGGACAGTAATTATTTTGTTGGCAGCCTCTGCTCCTGAGGAAGCACTTCCTATTTTATCAGGTATAGTCCTCCCCCTCCTGGATGGTGGGCGAGGTGGTGTAGCCGACACAGCACGTTTAGATTGGGATTTCAACCCTAGAAGAAAAGAAGCAGTAAGATTCTATATAGCCAACACATTAATATGAAGTAAAAGGGTGTTTATAAAATATTTTAATAAAACATGCATTCCTGGCTAACACCAAAAGATAGAAATGTTTCTTCTAGGCTAGGCACCATTGCTCACATCTGTAATCCTAGCACTTTGGGAGGCTAAGGCAGGAGGACTGTTTTGGCCCAGAAGTTCAAGACCAGCCTGGGCAACACAGCAAGACCCCCTCTCTACAAAAAAAATGTAATTAGCTAGGCATGATGGCATGTGCCTGTAGTCCTAGCTACTTGGGAGGCTGAGGCAGGAGAAATGCTTAAGCCCAGGAATTCAACGCTGCAGTGAACTATGATTGTGACACTACACTCCAGGTTAAGCAACAGAACAAGATACCTAGCACCTCTAAAAAAAATGAATAAGTAAATTATTTTAAAAAGTTAAAAAAATATTTCTTCTATCCAGTATCTAATTTCCCAATTCTATTTGTCTGTCCTTCCTCAGATACCATAAATAATTCTGGCTTTGTATCTGTACCTATTTTCCAATAAAGTAAAAAATACAGCTACAATCTCTGAAATACAGGTGACTATCCATTTAGTAGAAAGCAGTTTTATGCAAATATATAAAACCTCGTATTCTTAATTTTTCTCCAAGAAAGGATTTATTACCACCAATACAGAGGTCTCCTGTTTGAGGAGTAAGGTAACCTATTCTGAGACTTCTCTTTTGAACTAAAATCACCTAACCTATATGTTAAGGAAATACTCCTCCAAAATTACCAGTTATCCTTGCTAATTTTTCTTCTGGAACCTAATACTAAAAATTCATTTTTCAATCATGTTTAAAAATTATTTTCATTTACTAATTTTATGTAATAAACACATTGTAAATGAAAACTAGTGAATAAATTTTCATATTTTTCTTAAACAAGGAGATTATACAAAAATTCCTTAACACTTAGCAGATTTGAAAGGGTATGATTCACCCAAGGGTGCACTATCAAGGCTTAAATGAAATATCTATTCCAAACTATTGACACATGTTCTGTAATTGATAAAATGTAGTAAGCTGTGGATATAAAATAATATTTTAAATATATTTAAGTGTAATAATAATTCCAGTGCCAAAGAGTAATGGATTTGTTACAATATTTTTAAATTTAGTATTAAAACATCATCACAAATCAGATTTTTACATTTACTTATTACATCAAGTTCCTATAATTAGAATGGTTATATTTTTATAGAAACCCAAACAAAACCAAGGTTATAAAAATTAGAAAGCATACCAGAGGCAACAACAACACTGTAATTGTCCTGAAATCCATTTTCTGCCTTAACTTTTTCTTTCTCTTCATGGTTCTTCTTTTCTTTGTCATCTTTCTGTTCACTAATTAGTTTAGCTGTGATACTCGGAGTATCTGTAAGAAAATATTATCTATCTGAAATACATTGCTTTTCCAAATCATTAAAAAGGGGAAGCACTAAGTATTTCAGGAGATTATATAACATTATCCCTAATATTGAGGAAATATAAAGGAATTTAGAAAAAATGTCATACAGTAAAAACTGACATTCAATCCTTCCTGATATTGATAAGAGACTTGTCACTCTTCTTAAGCCAGGATATATAAGTTCCAATCTCTAGAAACTACTACATACAATATTTTACTAGTACTACCTCTAGAGACAATGAAAAACCATTAGCATGAAAACTTGCTTTCTTTTAGGTATAAGTCAATGTGCTTGACAACTACATCTAGTTCAGTCCTCACAATATGGGTATCAAGAAAGAATATTATTTTTGAAATGAGGAAACAGCCTTAGAAATGCTAATGATAAAACCTGTAAATAGGAAATACAAGACTCAAGCTCAGGACTCACTCTAAAGCATTCACTAGACTTCTATTTGTACTACAAATAGGAGTATAAAGGAACAAATTTCTTTAACAACTTCTGTTATTTTTATTTAGGAATAAAATAGGAATCTTAGATGACAAAGTAATATGTTTTACTACTATTTAAAAAATGAATACTGAAGGATTTCACAGACAGTTTTTTACTTTCTGAATTAATATTTCTTTCATTACTTTGGTATACAGCATGCAATTAAAAATCAAGAAATAAATGGGAGATAATATAATGATATGATTTAGCCATTAAATAATCTAAAGGCTGAGTGAACTATTTTGATATTAGAAAATTTTTTCAATATATGGATATGATTCATAAGGATTCTTTCTACTTTTCTAATTTAACACAGTTATGATCCAAAGTGTTTTATAATGTTGAAAAGATTGAGATAATAAAACAATAAATAGCATCTTTTGTAATAACTCCTATTTTATAGTTTTCTTTGAGTATAGGAAAATATTCAAGTGATCTCAATTTCTAGAGCTTCTTACTACTAACTGCTGATTGCCTTTGGATAGTTTATGTGAAATTTAAAAATTCGGTAAGCAATATTAATGCATAGTAAAAATAAATTTTACTTTCTAACAAAAATAAGCAACCCCAAATGGCAAAAATATTGACATAGGTCAGAATGAAATAATTAAGTAATAAGAAATTTACAAAATTAATTGAGCATAATCAAGTAGGAAAAAAACATGGGAAGCGCATTAGGTGATAAGAATTTATTTAGTACAATCAGAAGTTCAACTGATTTTCATTTATTTACTCTTATCTCAAAAGTAAAATCTAAAAAATAAATAGCATTCAAACATTAAAAGGCATCACTAAGATAAATTTTTCTCAACTTCCCTTTTTAAAACTGCTCTGGTTTAGAATTGTACTTCCGGCCAACACAGAAAAATAAGGACCAAGTTCACTCTCCCACCTAACTAATAACTAATAATTAGGAAATACATGCAACAATAGTTTTCAGACACTGGGCAAGCAGGGCAGGGCAGGGCAGGGCAGGACAGTGACACCTGGGTGAGTGGAAACAAAAGAGTTGAGCCCTAGGATCGAGCCAGCTTACTATCTGGAGAGTTTCAGCTCAGCATAATCCAGGTGTCACCCTAGGTTAAAGATACAAAACTGGGAATCCAGAAGACAAAGGCAGTTGGTGGTTGTTCATAGGAAACATTTCCAAGAGCAAGAGATTTGCAAAGAGCTCTAGAGATCTATAGACGGTCTTCTGCGAGTCTTCGGAGTGCACTGACAAGTATACACATGTGAGGAAATCACTGAAAGCCAGTAAAAGTACTACCCAAATGTAGCAAGGGAAACAATCCCAGGGTCTCAAATGGCAAAGAAATGCTTGGGTTCCTAATGACCAGTGTATTCCTAACTGAGTACTCAAAAGGTTATTGCCTCAGAAATAACATCAAATTGGACTTAAACCCGCATTGTCAAATCTGGTAGCCTATTTAAAGTTTGTTAAAATTAAAAATTTAAATTAAAATTTCAGTTCCTTAGTCTCATTTCACGTATTCAACAATTATTGAACTAGACAACATAAGTTTATAAAAATTTCCCTCATCACAGTAAATTTTGCCTTAGATTAAAAGCTGCTTTGATCCTACTTAATAAAGCTTAAAAGCACATCCCAAAGCAACAAACTGTTTTTAAATAACAAAACTACATTTTGGAAAAAAATTAAAAACATTTATTAGAATACAAAATCATCCAGTACCTGAAAAAGTAAAATTCACATTGTATGGCATCCAATAAAATTTTCCAGGCAAAGAAGCAAGAACATACAATCCATAAGGAGGAGAAAAATAACAAACAAACTAGTATGTTCAAGAAAGCAGAAGAAAGCTTGTACACTTTAAGTAAGGACAAGGAAATATTTTTTAAAAAATCAAACTTCTAACAGATTAGACATTGAAGAGGAACAGATCACGTCGACAACATACCAAGAGAAATTATCCAACATTTAAAAATAGAGAAAAAATTACTGGAGGAAAAAAGGAACAGAGCTTTGATAAGCTGTGAAGCACCTTTAAGTGGCATGATATATGAGTAATTGTAATCACAAAACAGGGGCGGTGAGACAAAATATTTAAAGAAATAATTGCCAAAAAATCTTCAAACCTAATGAAATCTATAAACTCACAGATTCAAGAAAACAAACACCAATCATAAAAAAATTGAAGAAAAAACTATAAATAGGGTATATAATAATCAAAATGCTTAAAACCAGTGACAGAAATGTACAAAAGCAAAAATACTGACACATAAACTTGATTATTTGAAAGCTATCAGAAGTGGGTAAAATTACCTATTGTATTTTAAATTGCTTGTTTTTATTCATGTTATTATATAAACATACGTGTAAATATATCATAAGATATAGCTAAAAATCATAAAGCTAATTTAAAGGACCAAATCATTGTTAAATAGAGGTTAAATTTAACACATAAATTTTGATGTAGTACTTCAAAGCATTTTTTATATAATCAAGAAAACTAATTTGAAAAATATTTTAAATAATGTTTTAGAATAGCATTCTTTCACAGTATAAGGATGAATAAAAATGTTAAACTTTCAGTTATTTTGTAGTAGAATGTCTATACTTTTTCAAGTTAAATGCATGAAATATCAGTAACTCAACTTCAGTACCCTTTCTCTTCATCTTCTCTTTTCATCTTCTCTACCTCCTTCATCTACCTAATTGATTTTTACTTCTCATTTTTCTTCATCATGTAGAATGGACAATCTCAGGGCTATGATAGAAAAAAGCTTCTAAAATTAAATTTACAGAAAAGTTTACCTGTAACAGATAAGGTGGCCATTTTCAAGTAAGAAAAAATGTTTTTTTAAATATATAATTTATAATAGTATGCTAACTATTTATTATATAACTTGAAAAAAGGTAGGAAAGAACTATTAATTTTATGTATACACTTCTGTTAGATACAATGACTGTAAACCGGAAAGGAATCTTTCCTACCTATAGTGATCATACTCATTCACATGGCTTAACTTACCATCTATCTATGGTAACAACTGCTAAATCTCTTCAACCCCATCTTTTATTCTGAGCTTTAGATTTGTATTTTAAACTGAGAAATGGATATCTCCAGTTTTTTTCTGATACTCCTACTCTTCCTTCAGTTCACAGCTCCCCTTAAAAACTTAGGTTCCCCTCTTATGTATACAGATAAAATTTATTGTATTTATGCTATAATGTGAACATTTACATTTCCAGTTTATTTTAAAACCTGACGACATACACAAGACCATAACTACCTTGAGGGGAAGAAAATGTGTCTTGCTCACTTTTACATCCTTAGGACAAATTACAGTACCTTGCGCATTATAGATGCTCAATGATTTCATTCATTGATTAACTAGGATTTCTGAGAGGTAATAAACTCTAACTACCTAAAGTTGATATGAATCTGTCATCAAAAATTGCTTTTTCTTTAATAACCTGTATGTTGTTTAAAGGTATCATCCTAGTTAGACAAGGTAGCTCACACCTTCAGTCCCAGCTATTTGGAAAACCAAGGCAGGAGGATCGCTTAAGCCCAGAGCTCAAGGCAGCAGTGAGCTATGACAACGCCACTGCACTCCAGCCTGGGCAGCAGTGAGATCCCATCTCAAAAATAAATACAGTCAGGAAACCTAGGAGAAAATGTTCTCTCCGTTTTCTTCACTGACCACTATAAACAGCAAGATGACCAGTCAATACTACCTATTCCATTTTCATCTCTTGATCACTGATTTTTTCCTCTAATTTAGTAAATGTCCATTAATTAGAATCCTGCCATCCAAAGAAATACCCTGCAATTCAACTACTATAAAATAACCAGATAGTTTATTACGGGAAAATTCCATCAATGGCTGCCAACAGCTTGTCTACATTTCCAGCTGCCCATTTTGTAATTATTACACACTAACACACACTAACCCAAAAAATTTATAACTGCTTGAATGTATTGTACATTTTGCCCACTTGATTGAAGCTTCTTACACTTCAAACTATGCCCATGTAATGTCCTTTTCTAGTTAATAAATGGTTGCTAAGTGGATGCAGTAAATATAAAAAAGTAAAACTCCATATATTTCTAACATAAAGTTAAAGAAAAATTTATACTTAAATATGACTTGCCTGACACTCTGTCAAGAACATCTGATAATGTTGTCGAGACTGGCAAATGCAGAGTACGGAACTTATGGCCTGCTCCATACATTGGATGTTGGATGACATGGCTAGTAGCATTAATTCTTCCTTTGTACAGCTGAAAATCAAGAAAGCAAAGAAATCAAGGAGTGATTTCTTGGAATACATATCATTATGAAACAATTGCAAAAGGATACAAGAATAAAAAATTTTAATAAAGCATACAATATGCCATTTATTTTATGTATTTCTTTACATGTTGCATGTTTGCCACATGATTTGTTGGTCAAGTTTTACATTAGCATTATTGTACCTAAAGTGTTCTTTCATTTCTTTCCCAAATCAAATTATGCTACTCAGGGCAAGGAATAATTATGTTATTGTAAGTGTGCGGGTGAGTATTATCCTAAAGAGATTTTCAAGTCCTCTCATTAACTATAAAGGTTGTTCTAGTTTCAGTTTGCTATATCAGAAGTTAGAAGAACATAGAGATAGGAAATTATCAGATAGGAAGTTATAAACTGTATTTACACACAGCTAATCATTCAGATTTAAGTGTTAAAAACTCACTGGACAGGGAGACTGAAGAAACATTGTCACTTTCTCATCTTCCAGCATCAACTGTAAAAATAATCTTCGTATAAATCCTGAAATGTTACCAGATGTTGGAAGGTTCCCTCTTTGAGGAGATGTCTGAAATAGTTCACACAGAACCTGGCAAGGCAATAGATATAAAAAGTTAAATGCACAATTCATTTGCAGCCTTTTATTTTGAAGAATAAATAGGAAATTTAAAAAGTAGATTAACAAGGATATTTTAACACATCAATCAAATCAGCAAATAAAGAACAAATTATTTCATCTTAAAATGTATGAATACCAAAGCAGATAAAAAGTTAAAAGCTTAACGAACATTTCTGTGGGTAAGGGAAATTACTACTAAAGAGTTTTGCATAATGAATACCTGGCACAAGCAACTTATTTTTACCTTTAGTCAGTATCAAGGTGGTTATGATACAACAAAAATTATGAAAAAGGTATAGTAAAAATATAAAACAAAGCTTTAATAAGAAACAGAGATAATTAAGCCAGAAAGCAATGGAACACAAATTTTCAAATATCTATAATCATGCCCTTGGTTCAACCTGTTCATTTAAGCATTTCCTTTTAATTAGGCACATTTTGCAAGGAGATGTTTTCAAATAAGTAATTACTATAGGCAGTAAAATATCTTGCTTTTGTTCTTAAAAGTTAAATCATTCAATATGTTATAAAAATTGTGATGGCTATCCTTCCATATATCAATAAAGTTTGATCTGAACGAGCACTATTAAATAAGGGGAGGAAAAAAGAAGTTGATTACTATTTATTAGCATCTACCATATCTCGGATAGGGTCCCATGCTAGGTACTTTATATACATTAAAATATTTAATCCTCTCAAAAAAATCTGTGAAGCAGGTATTGCTAGCCCCACTGTATTGGTTAAACAACCTGCCAAAGGTCACAAGACTAAGAAAGCAGCAAAATTTGGCAAAATGCAACTGGAATTACTCTTCAAATAATCCTGGCTTTCAAGGTTTTTGGCCACATAAACCCAATACAATATACAATCTTCTACATTTTTTAATGTGATTTATCTATAGCCTCCTATCTAAAACCTACTATAATTCTCAATGATTGTTTTTTGTTTGTTTATTTGTTTTTTTGAGACAGAGTCTCACTGTGTTGCCCGGGCTAGAGTGCCGTGGCGTCATCCTAGCTCACAGCAACCTCAAACTCCTGGGCTCAAGCAATCCTCCTGCCTCAGCCTCCCGAGTAACTGGGACTACAGGCATGCACCACCATGCCCGGCTAATTTTTTCTATATATTTTTAGTTGTCCGATTAATTTCTTTCTATTTTTAGTAGAGACGGGGTCTTGCTCTTGCTCAGGCTGGTTTTGAACTCCTGAGCTCAAACGATCCGCCCGCCTCAGCCTCCCAGAGTGCTAGGATTACAGGCGTGAGCCACCGCGCCCGGCCAAAAACCTACCATAATTCTAATGTCTATACAATGAGAAGCAAATTATCATTTATGGCAATCTGGTTACACCAAAATGCAATGCCTCAATGCAGATATGGCACTCAATGACCACTGTTGAGTGGTTAATCCTATTTCAGCAGCTGAAATGTTCTATGGGCTTGTTCTTTTTATTTTGGGAAGTTTTTTAAAAAGGAGGGGTGTATGATCTATAGCTGGAATACCCATGAATCTGCCAATCATAAAGAATGACTTACTTATGTGACAGCGTATTTTGAGGGAATGAGATTACTTTAATTTTGGTTTAAATTCAGATCCTTAAACACATTTGCCCTAAATTTTACCATTATCTGGCCTTTATAACATGTCCCCTCTTACCTAATTCCACCAACTATATGACAGCATATTAAGATAATAAGAGTTCTTCTTCTCTTACCTGTGCCATCAGCTTTTGATTATTAGGGTGGCATGAAATGCATTGCAGAAAGAATGCAACAGTTGCATTCTCAATTGCTGTGCGCTGTTGAGTAGTCAATCCTGTTGTAGCAGCTGAAGAAAGAGAAGCTGATCTTGCACTAGTCTGTTGTGCACCTAAATTATGTCCTCCAGAAGTGGACCCAGAGTGACACAATAAAAACAGAAGTGCCGTCCATAGTGGGTTGACTTCAGAACCACCAAGCCAGTCTTTCATAATGTGGCTATTGCCAACCTCTGTCAAAAACCTAAGAATAGGAGCAACCAGGTCTGCTGTGATAGGCATCTTATTACATTGTTGTGCAACATGATGCCGCCTGAGTTTGTCCTGGGAAGTATCTATTGGCTGAGCAATGCTATCTGAGTAAGAAATGTGGCTAAAGCAGAAACTAGCCAGACTCCTCACAAGAAGAGAAGGCAAACCTGAGTCTAGTAACTGTTTAATAGCTTCTGGAGATTGAGAAGAGGAAGCAAGGGTTGCCAAATGTGATTCAGTTAGTGCGAGAGGTGCTTGTGCATTTTTAGAGTCATCTGTTAAAGATGAACTAAGATCCTGCTTTTTGCTATCATCTGTCATGGATAGTCTGTGGTGACACTGCACTGGAGGAGGGGTAATTCCCATCCAGCCCATGAGCAAAGAAAAATAATTGGGATGTATGTGACACATTGAGCAAAGTAGACTGTCAACAGCTTTCTTCAAAACCATATTGCAGGGAAGAGACATGGACCAATTAAAAAGTAACCTAGAAAAATAAAAAACACCATATTAATAATACTGTTTTTTAAAGAAAGAACTCATTACAACTATTTTTATTGGAGATCTACACTGACAAAATTATTTGACATTACATAATATTGTGATTTATTATTATGACAATATAATATTGTAATTTAAGATTTCAGAAAAACATATATATATATTATTTAAGAATTTACATAGATTGGGAATTAGGTTAGACTTGCAAGTTAGTACAGAAAATCAAGCAACCAATATTAAAATGGTTCTATCCGGTTCTACCGTTCTCTGTGTGACCTCAAAAAAGTCATGTAAAGAAACAATGGAACTTTAGCCTCAAGGCCACATGTGGCCCTCCAGTGTGACCCCTCGACCAAATCCAAACTTCATAGAACAAATCCCTTTATTAAAAGGATTTGTTCTATAAAATTTGGATTCGGTCAAAAGAATTCACTTGAGGTTCCAGAAGGCCACATGTGGCCTTGGGGGTTCCCCACCCCTGATTGGACGTGAATGATGTACTAAAATCATGTTGCAAACAAAAAATACTAGAGAGGTTCACTAATAAGTCATGGATTATGCCAACTGGCAGGGCCAAATATGAAGATGACAGACTAGAGAACAAAAGGTCTACCTTTTATAAATCATGGAACTCTTCAGAAATAAATACAGTATTCTGCTACAGACTTACCAGTAGCCAAGCAGTAAGTTCACCAAAGCCTTAGGTGAATTTGGTGAAGACATGTGAGTAAATGGAAACCACTTGTCAAAAGGACAATCCAGAGACAGTCTTTCAAAGTTTCTAGCTGTACTTTTTCTCCACAGTTTTATTATACATTAAAGATAAAAGAATCTGGTAAATAAATTTACAACTGGGAACAATGAACTGTAGGAACACGACACTGAGCATTTCGATTTTAGGTAAGAAATGCAGGCAGTGCTGCTAATACATCTTCTTAAAACAAGAAGATAAATTATATTTAGCTAAATAAACATATAAAATATTGTTTTATCAAATGAACACCTAAAATGATCTAGTACTAGGAAAAAGAAAACATTTCACAAATCATACTTACTCAAAGAGGTCTCGGTCCAGCAGTGCTGGTAAATCATACTCTACAAGCAGTTCATAACTATGCCATAGAATTGCTGCTACACAGTGCAAATGAGAAGGAGATGGCATTAGAAGACCATACTCTATTGCTGAAGAGTTAGGGCACACGTAGTTTATCCTGCCACTTCTCTTCATAGCAGCCACTCTTGCAGAATCACTGACCCATTTTAACAAGGCCTGAATTCTTAAAAGAAGAAAATGAATTCAAATAACCAACTACAGCAAAATCAGCATTTGATATAGATCCCATCTTTGCATAGAAAGCAGGATATTTATGAGAATAATATACTAATTGTTCTTGACCATTTTTATAACAAAGACATAGTAGTTCCAGTTCCAGTTTTCCAATATCTTTACCAATTTTAACCAATCAAAAGATTTGTGATAACACATTATGACTCAGCAAATAAGCATTGATTGCTTCTTACCTTATTTATAACAAAACATATAAATTTTTAGAATTATGGGGTATACATATTAACACACACACATTCTTCTTCTATATTTTCTCTTGCCTTATAGCAAATCCACACTATCTAGAGCAGTGATCTGGGGCTAATTCCTTATTTACAAAGTCTCATGAAATACAGCATGTTTCACATCCCTAGATCCCTAGCAGTGAATTCCAATAGCAGCCACCCACCCCATTCACTCTGACCAATATAGCCTCCACACATACAAATACTTTAAGTACCACAACTACTCCCAAACCAATGGAGCAGGAGAGTAGTAAAACACACCCAATTTTGAACCATTAGCTGAGAGCAAAAAAATTTTTAAAGCAATAATGCTTTAGAGTTAGTATAAAAAAACCAAAACATGGGATAAGATTTAATAGCAAATTCTTCAAACATTGTGTTTATATTTGGTTTATTTCCTTTGAAATTTCTTGATTAGGCCATAAGATACTTTGCTTCAGGGTAAAAAAAAAAAAAATAGGGGTAGGAAGGTATATAATACTAATTAATCTCTTTCTCTAACCTGAAGGACTAAAAGGTTAAGACTCTTAAACTTTCAATAAGGCACCATTTATTATTAATTATTAATAATTTATTAAACAGTTAATTAAAGCGTTAATTATAAAATTAAATATTTTTTTCCCCAGAATGCCTTCACTGCCAGGCAGTCCATTCTGTATTCACAATCCTGACATCCTCCTTATTAGGTGACACTGCTGTCTCCCCAACCCTGGAGCAGGACTCAATTAACTTTCTCTCTAGTATCTAGCAGCATGCCAGCCATACAGCAGCTATTAAGGAAACACCTATAAATGCCAAATTATTAATAATTCAACAATTTACAAAGTAAGAAGGAAATAAGCTCTAGCATAGAAATTATTAATATAGTCACACATACTATAAATATGTTCCACTAATATGGATGCTATATATAAAACCAGAGAATTTTTGAGCAAGGGTTTGCTCAAAAATTTATCAACAAAAATGTGTTTAAAAAGTACTTGGAGTTCTTATCATTTTTGAAGTAAAAGACATCAAAGTAAAACTACATTGGGACAACTCATCAAAATTACCTCAATGTCAAAATCAATAAACATTTAGCTGAAGTGTTCAGATATCATTTACTTGGTATAACATTGTTTCATTTTGTGGTAGGAAGCATGATAAACAGGGTATATAGTTTAATTTAAAGATGTCAGTAAATATTATAAATAATTAGTAAGTAATCATTAAGAACAAATATTATAATCATTATCAAAATTGTACAAGTACCAACTATGGATATAATATTCCTATATTTGTATACGTTTAGTAAGTTATTACCTAAGATAGTGTGATCATGATACCATCACCTTATAAGGATGCTATCACAACATGGTTAACTTAAAAATACATGTTTTATTCCTTCCCATTCCTCAAAAGCAATATTAAGAAATCTAAGTTCAAATTGGCTTGAAATATGTCCAAATACGAAAATCTGTAAAGGTTGCATCATGTGAGGAATATATTTAAACATGAGATATATGGCCGTATTGTCTTAACTTTTTTAAGATCATCCAAAGAGAAAGTATTATAAGTAACATTCACTACAGGATGTTTGCGTACCTATGTGTGCATAAACAAAAAACGAGATCGTATACCTGTCTTTTGTTCCGGGATCCTGAGTTGTTCCAAGCTGGTAAAGAATATCTATCGTAGAGTCAGAAGAAAGTCCATTCAGTCTTCCAAAAAGTAAAGGGCTATTTAAATCTTGCAACAAAAAAATCAAAAGAAAAAGGTTGCTAAATAAGCAAATTGGGGATGGGAAGATTTGTTTAATTTAATTATTCATTAAAAATAAGTCTGCTATAAAGTCTACCAACAAGAAAAAAAAACTCCAAAAATAATGAAGCCAGAGGGGAAATTAATTTCTGAAACAGAGTTAATTACAAAAATCACAGAGTTCAACTGCTATAACTTTGCAGACATGTAAAAATTAAAATATCAAAGTTAATTAACTTTGTCACCTGTAGGATCACTGCCTGATGCTGCACAATTCCTCAGGAGAATGTCTATAAGCTTCAGGCCAATTCTAGTGGACTGCAGTCCTATCTTTACAAGCACAACCTCAATGTTGGGTGAATGCATTCCACAGTACGGAGACATCAATAAGGCCGCACAAGTCTGTAGCAGATTAGCAGTAGGTGCAGCTGCACTTGCCATCATTCCTTCCAGATCACTTATGTGAGTAAGGCAATGATGTAATAACCGTAACCATCCAATACTGAAATGTACAACACAAAATGACTTGTGTGGTAAATATAAGTAGCTCAAATTATCTCAGGGGCAGAACAGAACTTTTAAACATCAGCATATTGTGTTTCATAAGTAGCCTTAATCAATCTAAAAAAACATGTTTTAGAATGCTGCAAAATCAGTAATTCAACATATAGTAAGTTTCCCCTATAATACAATCATATACCAAAGGACTTAAGTGTTCATAGCATTTAGAAACCATATGCTTGCTTTTTTAAAAGAAATCATCCACGAATCTAGTTTTAAACATATATATATTTATACATATTAATACAAACTGATTACTATAATAAACATGTAAAACAGGAGAGATTACTCAATTTAAAAAAAAAAAGAAA